TCAAAGCAGCTGATTTTCTCTTTCGAGTGATGGTCTGGGCCGTATTCAAGAATTTTTGGTTTTTCCTTGACGAATTTTCGAAAAACTCGTCTTAACAACGGCCAGTCGACTCGCCTCAGTAACTAAAAAATCCTAGAAACTTTCAAACATTTCCAATAAAAGTGAGTTTTAGAAAAAAGTCAGCCAGGATCAGTAAGAGTGATAAAATTCGCTGCGATCGCCAACAAAACAAAAACTATTTTGTCTTCAATGCTCCGTTTTCCCAGGTTGCTTACAATTTATTAAATGCTTTTGCTTTCTCGGGTCGTTTTTTGAGGAAACCTCAATTTTGTCGAAAAAAACCGAGATAACTTTGTTTCGATTTTTATTGTAAATACGACGACTCTTCTTGTGAAATTCAGCTTTTAAGTTTTTTGCATAAAAGGCTCTATGTTTGCCAATATTGTACAGCAAAACTTTAGCAAAAAAACGCGTTGTTCTGTTTGGAGAGAGTTTTCTTCTAGGTTTTCCGGATTTTTCGCGTTAAGTCGCATCGCGCAGCTCGGCGGCCGGTGTGTACGCACCCTAAAGCTAAGCCAGGATCGATTTCCAGACTGGATTGTCTGGAATCCCACAAAGTAACAAGAAATGTTAATGTGAATTTACACACCAAACAGCCTGGAGCCGCAAACCATACACATTAAAGTGCTGTTTAATGCTCAGTCTGCTAGCATGAGCTGCAGGCCCATATTAATATAATAAAGCGCAACTTAAACGCTGTATAAAACTGTCAATAACGTAAAAATATATTCGCCTAAAACAAATAAACATAGTGCAAAACGAGGCGAACCGTAAATCGCTTTTCAATCGTAAACCGCCCGTTATGATGTGTTTATGGTTTTTCTTGATTTTATTAATTGCTTTTGGTTAACGATCGCACTGAAAATGATCTATAAACTATTTGTATTCATCCGGGCGATAATTAGGCATTTATTTCAAAGACAGTTGGTTTTTTTTGGTATTTAAACAGTAATAATCAAAATAGTTCGTTCACTTCACGCGCTGGATGATTTTTTGCCACTCTTTAAACGCCAATTCTTTTAGCTGCGACAACTTTAGCGTTGGATGGATGCTCTTCAGTTCCTTAAGTCGCTTTTCCTGGAAACTTCTGTACTCAGCTTTGCGCCGTTTTTCCGGCTGTTTATCCAGAAGGAGCTCGTTGTCCAGAAGGGCGAGGGCGGCGTCGATGGTTCTGGCGATTTCTTCGCCCAAACTGAGCCGATTGAGGTTTTCCGCCACTGATTCTGTGGCCAGTGGCTTACACTTGGGTCGGCTTTCCAGGAGTTTTTGCTCGATTTTCAGCCGAGTGAGTTTTTGCGAAGCCCGTGGCTTTGTTGCGACTTCAGTCTCCTTTTTCAACAGTTCCTTTAGCTCATTCTTCCTGTTCAGGTATTGCTGGCGCTTTTCCAGTTTCTCCTCCTTTCGCATCAGTTTCTTCTCGATCTTCTTGCACCGATCAGCCCATTGCTGGTCGCAGCTTTTCTTCTCCAGGGCGCCGCTCTTCAGCTTCCTCGCTTTGGCTGCGCAGGCTTTTGAGTTTTCGCCCACGAATTTCTTCGGCATCTTCAGATTGATGGTGGACTTGGCAGGTTTATTTAAAGTGACATTTTTGCGTGAGACCTGCTTGGGTCAGTGTCAGTTTTTCACGTGTTTTTCGCCTTAACGCCCGAGCTCCTTTTGGCCTAATGGAACTTTTATGCCCGGTTGCACCGTTTGACTAAACAGTGATTAAAAATTACGTCGCTTAACCACTGTTTTGTGTATTCTAAACAGCGATTACATTAACCGGCACTTTTTGGCTGATTAGCGCCCGATTAGGGATTAGGGATAGATTGGAAAAGACGGTTTCCCGTTTGGGCGTATGGCTTGAGAGTGAAACTGGAGACCGCAATGCACATTCTTTTGGCAACTGCAATGGCAGAAAATATGGGTGAAGAAGATCCTCTTTTGCTTGCAGATACTAATGAGGAGCTAAATTAGTTAATTGCTGTTAGGGAAGCAGGCACTGTAGCAGAACCACACAGCCAAGCTTTAGTTAACAACTTTAGAAGTCAACTTGTAAATTATTATTTTTCTAGGCTTTAAATTACGAAGAAAATGTACCTTTGGAAGTACAGTAAAGTCCGCTTATAATGAACCGGTTATAGTGAACTTTCGGTTAAAATACACTTTTTCCTTTAATTGAAACGTCGTCCATAAAGACCAACGTATTTTTTTTATTGGTTATAACGAACCCGTTTATAACGAACTTCCGGATATAACGATCACTTTTTAGGTTAGTTGTATAGTAGATACTTTCCTGACTGTGTTTCAATTCCAGATCAAAATCAATTCCTGGGCTTCAGTCATTTATTGTCTATTTATCAATTAAAATACGTTTCGGTGTTTTCCACCATCATCAGTTTCTATGTGTAG